GTGAGGGAGGGGTGGATTTGGGGGTCCTGGGGAATGAGCTTTGGGAATGTGCGGAGTGCACATCCCTGGAGGCGCTGCAGGCCCGGGAGCTGCCGCTGCTCGCAGGAGCTGGAGCTGGATGAGCTGTCCCTTCCAGCCTGAGCTATTCCGTGATTCCACGGTTTTGTGTTTGGCTTTGCAGCCTCGCAAGATTGAGGAGATCAAGGATTTCCTGCTGACGGCGCGGAGGAAGGATGCCAAGTGTGAGTGGGGCAGGAGCGTGGGATGCTCCAGCACATCCCTGTGGACACTGAGGAGCTCCTTGGCTTGGGAACGCCGAGGGGTTGGGGGTGACCTGGTGTGGCTGTGGCAGTGACCGAGGTCCCTCCTGGGGGTCCGGGCTGGGCTCTCCTGGGGAATGGTGTTCCCAGGCACCCTGGGCTGTTTGGCCAAACCTCAGGCACAGTTCACCAGAAGCAATTCCCAAATATCCCCCTGCTCTGCGGGATGCTGAACGTTGGGAGTTCTCTCACAACGGGTGATTCATCCTCAACGGGGGATTTTTGTTGCCACCACAAAATGAGGATAATTGAGGTGAAGCGCTGCCTCGTCTCACTGTTCAACAACACGGGAAGAGTTTTCCCTCTTTTCCCGCTTGTTTGGATCTGGCTGTCGCAGGATCCCTCGGGAATGTTTTGGTGGGAGAGTTGAGCACTGAGAGAGCCCTCAAGGAGCTTTTTCCTCCCCATCCCTGCTCTGGATGGAGCTGGAGGTTTCTGCACAGGGAAGGGAGCGGGTTGGGTTCCCCAGGGATGACACTGGGGTGTCCCTGCTGTCCCCTCCACCCCACAGCTGTCAAGATCAAGAAGAACAAGGACAATGTGAAGTTCAAGGTGCGCTGCAGCCGGTACCTCTACACCCTGGTCATCACCGACAAGGAGAAGGCTGAGAAGCTGAAGCAGTCCCTGCCCCCAGGTATCCTGGGAATCTCGTCTTGGATGCTTGGGATTGAGAGGGGCTGTGGGAGTGTCCCTGCAGAGTTCCCAGTGTCCCTGGAACTGGTGTCACCACCAGTGCCTTGGGTCAGTGCTGGGTGTCCCTGCGGAGCTGGAGGGCTCCAGGCACCCCTTTTCCATTCCTGAGCCCCCCTCAGACCACGTCCTCTCTCTCCTCCCCAGGTCTGGCCGTGAAGGAGCTGAAGTGAGCCGGGATCAGCTGGGTACCTGTTGGATTCTCTGTGTTTGTTAAAATAAATAAAAAACTGTTGGAAATGTCACGTTTGGTGTTTCACAAATCGCTGTTCCTGGCCCTGGAGCCACTCCAGGGCTCTCGGGGCTATTCCGGGGGTCGTGGGGCTGGTGTTGTATCCATCAGAGGAGCCCGGGGGTCGGTTCTGGTACCTTTGGGCACCAGACCTTGAGCCACCCCCTTGCTGGTGGGGTGACAGGTGGGGATGGCCCGGCCCGGGCTGGCACAGGGGGCCAGCGGCGTGTCCTGTGCGCGGTGTCCCGTACAGCGGGGCCCGACCGGGTGCGGTGCCCGTCCCGCAGGAGCTTTGGGGCGCGGTGTCCCGCTGGCGGCGTCCCTGCCGCGG